AATCTCACAAGGAGAATTACACTCTGAAAATCTAGAATCAACATCACACTGTCACTACCAAACAACATTTAAATATATTACTCAACAATCCCATTAGTACATCTAACATCACACTCCCATCGATCACAAGCAAACAGAAAGCAACAGAACCTCACAAAGAGAACTACATGCTGGAAATCTGGAATCAATATATCATGGCGAACCGTTCGCCTATTGATTCGTCAGCTTGTCGAGTCTGTCAGTTGCGTCCGAGAGGAATAAAGATCGGAAAAGGAGGTTAGGGCGACGACTTTTTTTTCCGCGGAGACAACGGCTGACAAAAATTTCCAGACGGGGCTAATTCAATGCGTCGGCTGGTACGTGGAAATTTATATGGGAGATTTACGATCGCGCGCGATCGGCGAGGGGTGGCTCACGCTCGATTGACTTTCGGAAAAAGGCCTAGCGCCCGGATCGCAGGCGAATTTCGTATGCACGCGGCTAGGTAGGCTGTGAGCGCTCCCGTTCTTTGGGAGAGGGGCCGGGTGTTTTGGAACTGTTGTCGCTGACTCGGGCTTTTGGATAGTGTAAATGAAGTGGGGAGAAAGTATTTTTGGTTATAATTCATTGGAAAAGTGGAAAGAAAATATTTTTGTTTATAATTCCCATTTTGTTTATAATTCATTAGAAAAGTGTAAAGAAAAAAGTTTTTGTTATATTTGTTATGTTGGTAGTAAATTTTGTTGTAATTTTTTTTAGTGTTTGGTGTTTTGTTCTTTATGGATTATTATAATAGTGTAAAGAAAATTTTTATTTATAACTCCCATTTTGTTTATAATTCATTAGAAGAGTGTAAAGAGAATAGTTTTGTCGTATTTGTTATGTTTAGGATGAATTAACTAATCATGGTGTGATTGTTTTCATAATTGTAATGATGGAATTGTTTTATTGTTTATAATTCATTAGAAAGTTGTAAAGAGAGCATTTTTTGTTATATTTGCTACGCTTGTGGTGAATTATACTGTAATTCTTTATTGTTTACTGTTTTGTTATTTATAATTTATTAGAAAATTGTAAAGAAAATATTTTTGTTATAGTTGTTATGTCTTTGATGAATTAATTCGGGAGAACAAAGTGTTATTCATTTCTAAAAAATCTAAACTAATTATTACCTTCCTATTATCAATCGTTAACCTTCAGAGTAAATGTAGCCATAGAATAAATATCCAAATTGTTTCTTTCCCTATTAAATTATTAACAATAAAATAGTTGTGATTATGGTTTAGAAATAAATCATAGAGTAAGATAGTAGTAGTATAATAGAAAATTTTAGCTTTTCTTCCAAACTGTCTAACAAAATGCAACTAATAAGTCAAGGGGATAACACCCTCCTAATAAATTAATTAGTAAATTAGTAAATTAGTTGAAACTAAAATAAAAATTTAATTAACCAGTACTCTGTAAAATTAGAAACAGTAGCACTAGAAATACTATATAATATAATATAAATATATAATATAAATATAATACAAACAATATATATAATATAAATATAATATAAACAATATATATAATATAAATATAATATAAACAATATAAATAATTAAAATACTATTTATATATATAATAACCTTCGGAGTAAATGTACACATAGAATAACCATCCAAATTGTTTCTTTCCCTACTAAATTATTAACAACAAAACACTTATGCTTCCAATTTACAAACAAATCACATAACAAGAAGGTAAAGTAGAAAAAAATGTCCTCTTCTCCTACAAATTGTCACAAAATGCAACAAATAACTCAAGGGGTTAACACTCCACCCCACCGAGGCAGCAGCCAAAGGGCAACAAAGAGACAAACGGGAAAAAATGCCAAGGGACAAGTGTCGCGGCGCTAAGGGTCGAAAGCAGCGAATTATCGAGTCTCGAATGCCGGGCCCTTAACGAGCGATAATAACTCCGGCAAATAGCCTGCATCTCTAGAACGCTAGTTTCCGTCCATTGTGACCGTGACCCCAAGACAATCGCAGCCCACACGTACACACGCACGCCACACGAGCGAAGGGTCTGATTCTGTTTATCTACGAGCGAATAATATGGTACGAGTGTCGGCCGAGGGTACACCTTCCGAACTGTGACCCCGCGCATTAACTGCGTGATGAAGGGGCGCGCTCGAGTGGGCTTTCTACGAGAACGTGTTTTGATATTGTAACGTTTGTATTAAATATCGGGAGGGTGGCGGTTCTAAGCCTGCCGTTTATTGAGACGTCATTAGAATATATTTTACAAGTGTTATCGTAGTATTACAGATCATGACTATCATAGTTCACAATTGTGATTATGATACCGTAGTTAATAACTGTTATCCTAATATTGTGATTCATAACTATCATAGTTCACAACTATTGTCCTAATATCGTAGATCATAACTATTATGTTTCACAATTATTATCCTAACATCATAGTTCGTAACTACCATACTTCACAACTATAATCCTACTGTCATAGTTTACAACCATAATCCTACCATCATACTTCAGAACTATATCCCTAACATCATATCATTCATAAGTATAATCCCAATATCAATAATATTGTTCACAACTATGATCTCAATATCATAGTTCATAACTATAATCACAACATAAATAACAATGTTCACAACTATAATCATACCATGATACTAGATAACTATAATCCTGCCATCATACTTCACAATCATAACCCAATCATCACACTCCTCAACAATCC